TCCTCTACGTGTACTCTACCTCTCCCTCTCCTATCATCTCCCTCACCTATCGTCTCCTCTCCTCTCCTCTCCTCTCCTTCTCTTCTTCCTCTCTCGCTAAGCTTCTCACCTTGCGACGAGAGGTAGACGTTTCCGTTACTTCCGCCGTTACCTGCATCATGGTCATGTCAATCCCCACCTGGGGCCAGCACCTTTGAGTAGCCCCGCGTCTCGCAGCTTCCGCTCCACCGCCTCGTCATCCCGTCAGCACCAACGCCAAATGCTCTCGTCCTGCTGCTGCTGCTGCTGCTGCTGCTGCTGCTGCTGCTGCTGCTGCTGCTGCTGCTGCTGCTGCTGCTGCTGCTGCTGCTGCTGCTGCTGCTGCTGCTGCTCTCCACCTGCTGCTCCTGCTGCTCCTTCCCTTCTCCTCCTCTCCTGCTCCTGCTCTCCTCCTCCCCCCCCCCTTCTCCTCCTGCTCCTCTGCTGCTGCTGCTGCCGCCGCCGCCGCCGCTCCTGCTCCTGCTCCTGCTCCTCTCCTGCTCCTGTTGGTTCTGCGTCTCCTGCTGTTGGTGCTGGTGCTGCACCGTCTTCTCTCTTCTTGCTCCTCCGCCTCACCTGCATCCGTTCGAACAGTCCGCGTGTGGCCGCATACCGCCATGTCAGCGATGGACGAGCTGCTCCCTGCTTGGCTGGTCAGCGACGGGAACAAGAGCGAGGACGTACGAGGAGGTCCAGGAGCATGAGGGTGCGCATGCTGCTGATTCTGGTGCTGCCGTCTGCCTGTCCGTCAGGTGGAGCCTCTCGCCTCCTCCTCCTCACAAGCAAGTTGGAAGGGCCCGCGCGTGTTACTCCAAGCAGCTGCCAAGTGCCGCGACCCGTAGATGGAGTCTGCAGCAGCAAGATAAACGCAAGCACTCCGCTTGCTGTGCTTCCTTTGTTCCTTCCCCTTCCCCGAACTCCTCAGGAACTTCCTCCTGGTCTCTCCTCCTCCTGCTCCTGCTCCTGCTCCTCCTTCACCTGTTGCCGTCCATCGCACAAACGCTTCCTCCCCATCGAAGAAGAGCATACGGAAACACTATGGGAGACGCAACAGAGCACTTGAGAACCAGCGCGTCAAGGGGCGGAGCTTTACCGGCAAGGCGCCATCGGCAGAGAGTTTGCGCTGGAGGCAAGTGAGGGGCGAAGAGGAGATGAGGAAAGAAGAAAAGGAGGAGGGGAGGAGGAAGAGGAGGGGAGGAGGAGAGGAAGAAGAGGAGGGAGAGGAGGAGAGGAGGGGAGGAGGAAGAGGAGGAAGAGGAGGAGAGGAGGAGAGGAGGAAGCCTATTCATCTCACTTGCAGCAGGGGAGTCAAACGCTCTGCCAGCGAGAGCATCATCCCCATCGGTGCCGCTGAGTCGGTGGCGCCTAGCAGGCAGTCAGGGTCAGCGCGAGGAGGAGAAGCTTGCCAAGGAAGGCGAAGTCTTGAAAGAACTTTGAGTCGAGGTGCGCTGTTGATAGCCGTGAGGTAGCGGAAAGAGTTTGAAGGAGAGCGCGGAATGAGGGGAACCTGCGAGGTCCAAGATACAGTCTCCTCCTTGCGGGCTGAACGATGCGATCACGCTCTTCATCGGCTGCAAGCTTCACTCACTCCCCTCACATCCTCCCTCCCCCCCCACCACCCGCCTCGCCAACCTCCTTGTCCTCCCTTGCTGCTTCTCCTCGCCCTCGCCCTCACCCTCCACTAGTTCCACTTCCTCGTCCTCGCAAACTTCACCTTGCTGCCGAGCGGTGTTTCGGCGGTGAACTGGTCATACTCGACATGCCAGCCCAAGGACTGAGAGGGAGTGAGAGGAGGGAGGAGGTGCGGGAGCTCCAAGAGGTCGGAGGTTTCTGACCGTGAGGACTTGTGAGATGTAGTCGATAGTGCTCGCCCACCCGACCTGCTCTCTCAGTGTCAGCTCAAGACGAGCCTCGCTCCTCGACCTCTCCCGGCGATCTCGTGCCCAGCGAAAGAATCTTCTTGGTGTGAAACATGGCGGTATGGCACTCCGCCGACCCCTCCGCGAGCATCACTTACGAGCTGATGGAGAAAGAGAACCAGTACAAGTAGAGAAAGAGGATGGAGAAGGAGCAACAGAAGCATCTTGGAGGAGGCGCAGGAGCAGCGGTGAAGCAGAAGAAGGAGAAGGAGCAAAAAGCTGAAGGGAGGGGGCGGGGCGGGGCAGCAATGGGAGGAGGAGGGGGAGGAGGAAGGGGAGGCAAAAAGAAAACACCTCGATCTCTGACTTGCATTCGAGTGACTGCAACTCATTCGAGTTCATCTCTGCCGCCCAACAATCAATCTTGAAGCTCTTGACTTGAACACACGCACCGCTAGCGCTGTTCAAGTAGCATCCAACGGCTTCTGATGCCGCCATGCTCGCACATCTACATCGAAGTTTCGCCAGCTGCTCCAGCAGCGAGTCATTCTCAAGCAGGTCACTCTTGAAGTAAAAGAAGAAGAAGGTGATCACCTGCCCGGAGTCCTTGAGGCCCAGGCATACCTCAGGCCTTGCCCCCATCTCCTGCATGGATTGTGTCGGAAGCTCCGTCGAGGCGCTGTTCGCTTGCCTCCCTGACGTGGACAACCTGCTCGAGGCACCTCCCTGTCAGCCTCCTCTCAAGCCATCGACTGCCCATCACCCCACGACTACGGCGGCCAAGGCAACCGCAGCCAGCAAACCTGTGCAAGAGTATCAGCGGAGGCTACACCAGGAGCCAGCAACCCAGCATGCGAGGTCTTGATTGCAAAGAGGTGGCGACTGAAGCGCCAAATGTCTGGAGGGTGTGAGCAGTCAGTATGCTGCAGATACTGATGTTAAGCCCTCGCTACCTTGAGAGTCAGTTGAGGCTCTACGTTGGATGGGCATGGCTCGTATGTCCTTCGGAACTCTCGGGGCATGGGCAGAGCTACATCCTCTTGTTCATCTCCACGAGGATGCAGGGGCATCAAAGGCTTCGCTCCCACCTCCTCCTCCTCCTCCTCCTCCCTCGCCCCCGACCTCTCCTTCCCTACCATCTCCCCGATAATAGAAAACCCGTTACCTCTTGTAACGCCGGGCCTCCAACTGAGGCGGCCTCAGTGAGACCGGGCCCGGATCACTCAGTGACTGAGCCTCGGAGCCCGGGCCAGGCTTGAACCGTAGGTGCAGTGGACCGAGAAGGCATCGCATGTTGCCTTCTCCGAGTCTTTACTCAAAGTTAAGTTAAAAATCAGTACGAGGACAATCAGGAGAGTCGAGGAGGCCGCCCGGCTTGCGACGAGAAGCCTGAGAAACTTGACAGCGAGAACCAAACCTATTCCTGCGCAGTGCCAACTGCTGTCCCCCAAACTTAACTCGGATCCCTTCAGTTACTAGTTAACTGCCAGTGCGCGTTGGGTACTGGCCTGCAACTTTTCTGGTCCCCGCCGCCGGTCGGCGCCGGGCCCGGCGAGTACCCAGGCCCGGCGAGTCACTCGGCGGTCGGAGTCGGCCCACTGGGCCAGGTCGGCCGCCAGAGCCGGGCGGCCGGGTCCGACGGCGGCCGGGGCCGCCGCTGGGTATGTATGGGGATGAGGGTTATTTTTTGCACGTGAAGCGCATGCACTAGACCGAAGAGTGAAGGGGGAGGGGGAGGGGGGAAGTAGCGACGAGAAGCGTCACAGTAGGAACATGAAGCAAGTCATGCAGACACGATGAAGAAGATGGCAACGAACATGCTGCTCTCATTGTTGACATGCTATGATGTTTCACGACTCGAACTCTTGTGTCGTTTGTTTCTGTTGACCTGAGCGATGGAGCTAGCGGACGTCTCTCTCGAAAGTGACTTTCTCCTTAGGATGCCCTCAGTCGCCAAGTCGAAGGGGAGCATGCCAGCAGCATCCAAGAACAAGACCCCCAAAGCAGCCAACGGAAAAGCAGAAGAAATGAAGACTCCGGCGATGGTGAGGGAGGAGGAGGTGCGAGGCCTGGTAACGTGGAGGTCAGGACACCCCAATGGCGAGATCCAAGTCAACGATCAAGAAGGTGCTTGAGTTCCAGACCCCAAGCGCACGCAAGGTGAAGAGACGAGGATGAGGCGGACCTGACATGCTTGACAGCCTTCGAAGAGCGACGACAAGAGCCAGGTGAAGCTTTGAAGCATGGACGTGGATGAGAGGAGGAGGACGGGGAGAGAATGAGGGAGGAGGACGGGGAAGACGATGAGGAGCACACGGGGGAGGAGGGTCGTGACGATGAGCTTGTTCTTAGGATGTGAAAGAAGCGTCGGGTAGGAAGAGCCTCGGCTCAGTGAAACGAGCGTCTCCTCTTCAAAGCCAAGCCACTCCAAGCAAACGGAGCAAGAAGGAAGCCTTGTCTCCTGCAGTCAAGTCTCCTGCTGTCACCTCCATGGCAAAGAAAAGCTTCTCTCCTCTCCAAACTCGTTCACAGGTACCTCCTCTTATTCTTGTCAATCTCTCTCCGCTTCTCCACCCATCCTTCACCTCAACCCTTATGTCCCCTCCTTGCTTGCCTCTGACTTGCTGCAGCGAAAAAAAGCCCGAAAATCTAAGACGCCTCCTCCCCCAAAAGAAGAGGAGGAGGAAGAGGAGGAGGAGGAGGAAGAGGAGGAAGAGGAGGAGGTTGAGGCTGCTACCAATAGTCATGTAATCAAATGTCTATTCTTGCGTCGACTGAAGTTTTCCTGCAGGCCATGGAAGAAGAAAGCGAAGACGAAGAGGATGAGAATGACGATTACATAGAAGACGATGGACAAGAGGGAGAGGAGGAGGAGGAGGAGGATGGTGAGGAGGAGGAGGCGACCAGGAAGGAGAGGAAGGAGAGGAAGAGGAAGATGGTGAGGAGGAGGAGGAGGAAATGGGCACCGACGACTTCCGGCTTCCAACTGAAGAAGAATTAGAAGAGGAGGCTAAACGACCGCCGGACAGCGGTGAGAAAGAGAGGAGAGGAGGAGGAAAGGGGAAGGGAGCGGGAAGGAGAGAGAGGGGGGGGGGGAGGGGAGAAGATGGGTTGGAGTGAGACGGGGTTGAAAGCGGGAAGAGAGGATAGATTGAGTTTTGACCGTGACAGCTGGGGGAGGAGAAGGGGAGGAGCTGACGGTCTTGTCAGGGATGCTGCAACAGCGAGTGCAGGAGATCCTGCGAGTGCTGGTGAACTTTAAAGAACGACGAGCTGAGAATAGCTCGCGGGCAGACTACATGAGTCAGCTGGAGAAGGACCTCTGCGCCCTGCACGGCTACGTCCCCTTCCTCATCCAGCTCTTCCTCCAGCTGTTCCCCCCTGCCGAGGCGATCGAGTTCTTGGAAGCGAGTGAGAGGCAGCGGCCGGTAACGCTGCGGACCAACACGCTGAAGACGAGGAGGAAGGAGCTTGCGACCGCTCTCATCGCTCGCGGCGTCAACCTCGACCCCATCGACCGCTGGAGCTCCGTGGGGCTCGTCGTCTACGACTCTTCTGTGCCGGTCGGAGCGACGCCTGAGTACCTGGCGGGTCACTACATGCTCCAAAGTGCCTCCTCCTTTCTCCCCGTCATGGCGCTGAGCGCAGGAGAGCACGAGAAGGTGCTGGACATGTGCGCAAGCCCCGGAGGGAAGACGACCTACATCGCAGCGATGATGAAGAACGCGGGCATGATCGTCTCTAACGACGCCAACGAGAAGAGACTCAAGTCGCTGGTCGGGAACATCCAGAGGATGGGAGTGAGGAACGCGGTCGTGACCAACTACGACGGGCGGCTGCTCCCCTCGGTCTTCTCCTCCTTCGATCGCGTGCTCCTGGACGCTCCTTGCAGCGGGCTCGGCGTCATCTCCAAAGATCCAACGGTGCGGATGCAGAAGGACGAGGGAGACATCCAACGCTGCTCGGCCCTGCAGAAAGAGCTCATCCTCGCTGCCATCGACTGCGTCGACGCCTCGTCCAAGACTGGAGGCATCATCGTCTACTCCACCTGTACCATCACGGTTACGCCTCTTCCTTGTCCTTCCTCTCCTCCTCCCCTCCTCCCCCTCCTCCCCTCCTCCTTGTCTTCGTCTGTAGTTGCACTGGCGCATGACAGTCGCTCAGGTGGAGGAGAACGAAGCTGTCATCGACTATGCGCTCAAGAAGAGGCACGTCAAGCTCTTAGATACAGGTTGACTCCTCTTCTCTCTCCTCTCTCCTCTCTCCTCTCTCCTCTCTCCTCTCTCCTCTCTCCTCTCTCCTCTCTCCTCTCTCCTCTCTCCTCTCTTCTCTCTCCTCTCTCCTCTCTCCTCTCTCCTCTCTCCTCTCTCCTCTCTCCTCTCTCTCCTCTCTCCTCTCTTCTCTCTTCTCTCTTCTCTCTTCTCTCTCCTCTCTCCTCTCTTCTCTCTTCTCTCTCCTCTCTCCTCTCTCCCTACTCTCGCCCCGTCTTCATCCCCTCACTCATTCTGCCCCCCCATCCCCCCCCTCTTCCTTCCCTTCTGGTTGCTCCTCCCCTCGCCTTGCCGCCTCTCATCTTGTCTCGGAGTCTGAAAGGAGGAGCAGGGCTTGACTTCGGAGTGCCGGGCTACGGGAGGTACCGGGGGAAGCAGTTCCATCCCTCCGTCTCTCTCACCCGCCGCTTCTACCCGCACGTGCACAACATGGACGGGTTCTTCGTCGCCAAGCTCAAGAAGCTCTCCAACGCCAAGACGGCGAAGCCTCAGGAGGAGGCGAAAGAGCAAGCGAAGAAGAAATCGCAGGGCAAAGCCAAAGTAGACGAGGAGGAGGAAGACGCTGAGGAGGGAGACGGGGAGGAGGAGGAGGAGGAGGAGGAGGAGGAGGGCCAGGAAGAAGGGGAAGAGGGCGAGGAGGAGGAGGAGGAGGAGGAGGATGAGAGTCAATGAGGGTTTCCTCGTAGTTGTAACTTCTCTTCGCATTAATCTTTCAAGCTTTGCTTGTTCTCCTTGTTGACTCTTCACGTTCTCTGTCCCCGAGGGTTCGACCCGCTTGCTCGTTTGCTTCCCTGGTCGTTTGCTCGTCCCCTGTTACTTATCTTATCAGCGCCTCCTCCTCCTCCTCTCCCTCTTGACCGCCTCCCCTCGTTCCCCAGCCTCTTGTCACCTCATTCCGTCGCCCTCGACCCGCGTCTCCGAGGAAACCGACCGAGGAGAAGAGCTGGAAGAGCCTGGCGGAAGCAAGATGAAGAGAAGAGGAGATGAGACTAGAGAGGACAAGAGAAGGGATGGGAGGGGGAAGGAGAAGAGAAGGGATGGGAGGGAGGAGGAGACGAGAAGGGATGGGAGGGGGAAGGAGAAGAGAAGGGATGGGAGGGAGGAGGAGACGAGAAGGGATGGGAGGGGGAAGGAGACGAGAAGGGATGGGAGGGAGGAGGAGACGAGAAGGGATGGGAGGGGGAAGGAGAAGGAGCCCCACATGCTTGTTGGGAGTTGTTTGAAGCAAATCCACAGTCGTCGACAGGAATTCTTCATACACCTGCACCAGGCAAGTCGACGGGAGGGAGGGAGAGGAGGAGGAGGCGGGAGGAGAGGCGAAGGGAAGCAAGAGGCACAGAGGAGAGAGGAGTGGAGGAGACTGAGGGAAGGGAGGAGGCAGGGGAAGAGCAGAAGGAGGCACCTGGCAGGCGGGACAAGAGCACTTTGCAGATCCCAACTCACTCCTCTCATGCCTAGAGCAGGAGCCGTCAGCTTCGGATCTTCTCTCCTCCCCTCCTCTCACTTGTCTCGACTCAAGTCTCCTCGCCCAGTCGCCTGCACATACGTCACGCCTATCCTCGTCCTCTTCCTCCTCCCCTCACGTTGGCTCGCAGCTCCACCCCGCGAGCTTGTCTGGCGTCCTCACTAAGCAGAAGTCAGTCACTTGGCCCCTCCCTCCCTCCCTCACCTCCGGTTGGCGTCGCGACGAGCAGGCGACATGGTCTTGGCGTTGCGCTGCCCAACCGATGAGCAACAAGTTGAGCAGAAGTGAAGACGGTAGGGTGAGTTCAGCAAAGAGAGCGATGGAGGGGAGGGAGGAG